TTTTAACCGGTTAAAGAGAGATAACTCCATTCATCAGATATTAGACCTCCTGTATCTGGTGTAAACTTGGAATATTTTCCAATTTTTCTGTATATTTTTGGACGTGGTAGCAGGTGTTTATATCAGGTATATTTATATTGAACATATATTACCGCGCATAGAATCTCAAAGAAGAAATTACCAACTAACGATAATATTACAAAAATTCACGTTAAGAGAGATAACTGCATTCATTCGATATCACACCTGGAATCAGACTTCTGTACCTGGCGATTTCCCTGTTTGTGATGTAAACTTAAAATATTTTTGGACGTGGCCACAGGTGTTTATATCAGGTATATATTGATTTCCATGTGAAGAACGTAATTCTATATATTTTATTATGAAATCGCTATGATATATACAGTTAATCCTGTTAATCGGTTATTAGCAGACGACACCCACTAAGACTTCAATTTTAACCCGCCATATTCGTAATCAATCTACAGGTTTGACCCACTTAATCCCATTAATCGGTGCATTTGTCAAAATCGAAGAATATATAACCAAAATACCAAAGTATTTCTGATCGCTAGAGTTAGTAACTTCTGTAAACTACCTGTTCGCTAAGACTTCAATTTTAATCCCCCCCCCCCCTATTGCTAATTGATCTACAGGTATAAGAAGTTGTGCTTTGACCTAATTAATCTCTTAATCGGTGCGTGTGACTAAATACTTAGTACGAGCGACAAATAATATTTATAACAAGCGAATTAAAATATTTATTACAAGAGAATTAAAGTATTTATTTCAAGAGATTTAGACGTATTTCGCTCCATATATGTCTTCATATTCTATACAAGCACGAGTTAAGGCCTTCAGACATAATCGCCATTTTGTTAATAGATACCTTGTCGTAGATGTATGTAAAACATGCACACTTTGATTTTCTATGACAAGATAGAATCAATATATAACGGAAATTGTTCATTTTTTTCTGTTTTATAATACTTAATACAACATAATTAAAGTATTTCTGATCGCTAGCGTTAGTAACTTCTGTAAACTACATATTCAATAATAATCGACATAGTGTTAAGTTGTGGGTTGACCTACTTAAAGCTTAATCTCTTAGTTAATCGACAACTTGACCTGTATGTAGGACTACAATATTTGGAATGAAAAACATTCTCATATTCTATTAGAAAGTATTTAATAACCATGGTTATTAATCAATATTGATTCCCATATGAAGAACCAAATTTGGAATGAAAAACATTCCCATTTTCTATATATTTTATTTGATAGATAGAATTACAAAAAAATCACTTCATCTGGTTCAAGGGAGGTGCACTTTAAGGCCACCATTTTTATGCTCTAGGTTCAAGGTGTTTCGATTAATTGTTTCACTTTTATTATTTTCCCAGATGAAATTGTAGATTATTTTATTTATGTTTTTAATAATTGAGTTTGAGGGAGGAACTATCCTAGCAACAAACCATAGTTTGCTGAGTATATATTAGTATAAACTCTGAAACACGAATGACAGCTAACTGTTCCTGCTTACTTATATACCTACAGGAATGGAACGATTTGGTTAATGTCAACTAATATTACATGATTAATCTAACACCCAAGCCGAGTACACACCAGCCAAGACGCCGACATCCTGTCGCAATTCAATTACAGGAAATGAGGGATTAGATAATGTGTTTGTTACAATTGAATTTTTATTTCTGAATAAATGTTACGTTTCACAGTTAAAATTCTAAAGTATGCGATTAATATTCCATAGCTTTAATCTATTGGTACGTGTCATTAACTAATCTGTCTGTAATATCAATGAATCAATTTTATTTTAATTTAGCTTAAACATTCCCAACATATACAGTTGTGCATGATTACATGAACATATTTTGTAATTGCATATACTTGTGAACTTTGAGATTTTTCCTATGGGAAATACACAAAATTATAAGCATGAATAAATATATGTTCTATACATTTGAATGAATATTTTGTAATTGCATATACTTGTGAACTTTGAGATTTTTCCTATGGGAAATACACAAAATTATAAGCATGAATAAATATATGTTCTATACATTTGAATGAATACCGGTCTAAGATATTTATGTGTGAATTTGAACATGTGTTATACGTATGTGAAAATTGAATGTTTATTTCTGTTGAAATATTTCGTTTCACAAGGAAAATCCCAACTTATGTAATTAACATTCCATAGTTTTAATCCATTTTCATGTTTCTACGCACGAGTTATTTATCAACCATGAAATCGATCAATAAATCCATTTTAATTCAGTAAGAAACGTGACTCACACGGCACAGTACATGCAGAAACATATTTATTAGAAATGAATATGATTGTATGAGAAATGAATACGATTGTAATTGCATATACTTGTCAACGTTGAGATTTTTCCTATGGGAAATACACATAATAAGCATGACGAAATATATGTTCTAGACACATAGGCACCCTTCTTTGAAGGTGTTAACGGATTAACTTTGGGGATGGCTTCCTCTTTTCAAATTCAAAAAATATAAGTCTGAATACCGGTCTAAGATATTTATGTGTGAATTTGAACATGTGTTATACATGTGTGAAAATTGAATGTTCATTTCCCTTGAAATATTTCGTTTCATAAGGAAAATGCCAAAGTGCATTTAACATTCCATATGTTTAATCCGTTTTCATGTTTTACGCATGCATTATTTATCAACCATGAAATCGATCAATATATCTGGTTACATTACATTGATATTCAATAAGAAATTTGTTTATCCTGACGGGTATTTTACAATGATTATTAAACCTCGAATTATTTGTATTTAAAAATACTATTTTTTACATTTACTTTATTTGAATAAATATTGAGTAAAGCAATCATTATTCGAATTTCTCTCTCAAGTCGGCTACTTAAGAAAACGTGTGTTGTGATTTCTTAATTAAATACATATTGTAAAAATATCTTGTCAGTCTCATAAAAAAACACAAGCTCTGCTCAAATCTCGAAGGTTTCTAAAGCCGGCAATATATGTGTCTATTTAAGAGCGTTCCCATTCTTGTCAAGCATATCACCTTTGGTGGAAGTGGACGTAAAAATCAAGGAACGAACAAGTTATCATTAAAGATGAAAATCGCCATTTTAGGCTCGTCACACGTCAACAAATTAGAGAAATTTTGTAGGGCAACGGCAACAGATTTAAGTGCCCATCAACTATTTTTTTATGGAAAGCCGGGGTACACAGCCGCAAACTACATGTCCATGTCCGCTACAACGTACCGGTGGTGTGGATCAACAGTTACCCACGGAAAGATCCAAGATACGGAGACTGGAGGATGAATCGGAGACAAACAGAAAAATTGAACAGACATTCACTCAGCCGACGTTTCATTTCTCTGTTCAATTTTTCTGTTTGTCTCCGATTCATCCTCCAGTCTCCGTATCTTGGATCTTTCCGTGGGTAACTGTTGATCCACACCACCGGTACGTTGTAGCGGACATGGACATGTAGTTTGCGGCTGTGTACCCCGGCTTTCCATAAAAAAATAGTTGATGGGCACTTAAATCTGTTGCCGTTGCCCTACAAAATTTCTCTAATTTGTTGACGTGTGACGAGCCTAAAATGGCGATTTTCATCTTTAATGATAACTTGTTCGTTCCTTGATTTTTACGTCCACTTCCACCAAAGGTGATATGCTTGACAAGAATGGGAACGCTCTTAAATAGACACATATATTGCCGGCTTTAGAAACCTTCGAGATTTGAGCAGAGCTTGTGTTTTTTTATGAGACTGACAAGATATTTTTACAATATGTATTTAATTAAGAAATCACAACACACGTTTTCTTAAGTAGCCGACTTGAGAGAGAAATTCGAAAATTGATTGCTTTACTCAATATTTATTCAAATAAAGTAAATGTAAAAAATAGTATTTTTAAATACAAATAATTCGAGGTTTAATAATCATTGTAAAATACCCGTCAGGATAAACAAATTTCTTATTGAATATCAATGTAATGTAACCAGATATATTGATCGATTTCATGGTTGATAAATAATGCATGCGTAAAACATGAAAACGGATTAAACATATGGAATGTTAAATGCACTTTGGCATTTTCCTTATGAAACGAAATATTTCAAGGGAAATGAACATTCAATTTTCACACATGTATAACACATGTTCAAATTCACACATAAATATCTTAGACCGGTATTCAGACTTATATTTTTTGAATTTGAAAAGAGGAAGCCATCCCCAAAGTTAATCCGTTAACACCTTCAAAGAAGGGTGCCTATGTGTCTAGAACATATATTTCGTCATGCTTATTATGTGTATTTCCCATAGGAAAAATCTCAACGTTGACAAGTATATGCAATTACAATCGTATTCATTTCTCATACAATCATATTCATTTCTAATAAATATGTTTCTGCATGTACTGTGCCGTGTGAGTCACGTTTCTTACTGAATTAAAATGGATTTATTGATCGATTTCATGGTTGATAAATAACTCGTGCGTAGAAACATGAAAATGGATTAAAACTATGGAATGTTAATTACATAAGTTGGGATTTTCCTTGTGAAACGAAATATTTCAACAGAAATAAACATTCAATTTTCACATACGTATAACACATGTTCAAATTCACACATAAATATCTTAGACCGGTATTCATTCAAATGTATAGAACATATATTTATTCATGCTTATAATTTTGTGTATTTCCCATAGGAAAAATCTCAAAGTTCACAAGTATATGCAATTACAAAATATGTTCATGTAATCATGCACAACTGTATATGTTGGGAATGTTTAAGCTAAATTAAAATAAAATTGATTCATTGATATTACAGACAGATTAGTTAATGACACGTACCAATAGATTAAAGCTATGGAATATTAATCGCATACTTTAGAATTTTAACTGTGAAACGTAACATTTATTCAGAAATAAAAATTCAATTGTAACAAACACATTATCTAATCCCTCATTTCCTGTAATTGAATTGCGACAGGATGTCGGCGTCTTGGCTGGTGTGTACTCGGCTTGGGTGTTAGATTAATCATGTAATATTAGTTGACATTAACCAAATCGTTCCATTCCTGTAGGTATATAAGTAAGCAGGAACAGTTAGCTGTCATTCGTGTTTCAGAGTTTATACTAATATATACTATATACTCAGCAAACTATGGTTTGTTGCTAGGATAGTTCCTCCCTCAAACTCAATTATTAAAAACATAAATAAAATAATCTACAATTTCATCTGGGAAAATAATAAAAGTGAAACAATTAATCGAAACACCTTGAACCTAGAGCATAAAAATGGTGGCCTTAAAGTGCCAAACATTCGACTAAAAATCCAGGCAATGCAACAACAACTTATAGTAAAGGCAATCAAAGACAACAACAGTCCCTGGTTAGGCCTATACATATACTGGCTAGGATTTACTACAAGGGATACTCTGCCAAGATATGCATCCAATAATTATACCCACTCGGAAAAACTCCCCCAATCATATATAGATATAAAAGAAACTTACAATAGCCTCAAATCATCCATCAAATATACATACAATACAAAACTTAAAGACATATACTGGTCCCTAATTGACTTATTACAGACACAACCAAAAATAAATAAACAATTACCTCATGTTGACTTTTCAAAAGTCTGGACAAACCTCTATAAATGCTCCTCCTTATCTGAAAAAGAAAAGGATTTCATGTATACAATCATCAATAATGCAGTACTAACAAAAGATATTATGCTATACAGAAATATATATACTATCAACTATAAATGCCACTATTGTAACCGAGCAACTGAATCTTACCATCATTTATTTCTGAATTTTCCCAAATTAAAATTCTATAAATGTTCCATTACTACACATATAAACAACATTTATTTCGCCAAAGAATTCAAAATCAACAACAATACAATCCATCTACACAATATAAAATCTAAATACATTCATGATATATACCTATACCTATCGATCATATGGTCTAACCGAACACACCCTCTATCCACCAATATTTCACAAGAGCTTATATACCAATTCTATACAAAAAGAAAACAAAAATAAAGATTACTCTCTTAAGCTCGAGTCTTCACTACCTTATGACCCTCCTTAAGCCTAGGTTTGTGTCGTCATGTCTGAATTTATACTCTGCAACTTCTCCCATGAAATATTGACTTTGCTACTATAATAAGTAGCTACAACCATAGACATCTTCTTATATTTCTTTCGTATATGAGCACTCATTGCAATTTTTAGTAAGAATGTAGGCCTACAAGCGAAAATAACCAAACACCTGTAGGCCTACCCCATATAAATTCTGGAAAATTTTGGCTTAATTGATAAACCAATATTATACGAAAGGAAATAAAATCGAAATCACCAAGCTTCAGCCTACTCTGCCTTACCGAATTCTCCTGTATAAGGCAAGTTATCGTCCTGTATGAAGCTTCCATATTAATTACTCTACTATATGACTAAACAGACCGCGCTATTTACTTTAAGTTGTCACAACTTGACATCTTAGTCATCTTTCGTTTTCGTTAAATGGCACTATCTCACTCTGTCATATAAATAAAATACCTATACACCCACTGAAATATGTCCAACAGTAAAATAGAAATCCATTAAAAACATTTAAACACTAACTCAAGTTTTACCCGTTTGTTTTACCGCTATTCATTCACTGTAATCAACACTCACCTCTAACATTAACATAACCATCATAACATCCCACAATTCCCTATGCACGTTCTTTTTGTGCTGGGAAACATCACACTCTCTTTCAACCAGACGCTTTTCCACTACAGACTTCAAATATATTTTTAGCTTTATATAAGAAAGTAGCTATAATATAGGAACTTTAATTGTATTTTGTATTATATTACCGTTTGTATATATCATCTCATATTGACTTTGTATATAACAATTGTAAATAAATAAATAATTCTACTGTATTAAATTATAAATTATCTATTGCATTGTTGGTATCCATTCAGGGGGTCAGCCCCAGAAAAAAAAAAAAATTGCCACGCCCCTTTCTGGACATGTCCTAAAATTTGATTTTTTTTTTTTTGACTGAAGGTCGGAAAATTTGGATTGGGTATGGGTGGGGTGGGGCTTTGGTCCACCCCTCGTAGGTGGAGGGTGGTTGCGTGCCCCAAGTCGGTCGTTGATGCGCGCAAATTTGATTTTTTACTCAACCTGATGTGCGCGGACAAGATAAATTGCCTAATTTAACCTTGGAGTTGACTTTTTTCACACAAATATAATTAATGGAGATGAGTTTTTAAAGATACGCCTGTCGCCTCGCCAAAATATATTAATAAAGTGGAAAATATTCCAAGTTTACACGCAAAACAGCGAAAACGCAAGTGTCAGCGGTCTGATTCCCGTTGTATGGAGTTACCTCCCTTGAACCAGTTGAAGTGATTTTTTTGTAATTCTATCTATTAAATAGAATATATAGAAAATGGGAATGTTTTTCATTCCAAATTTGGTTCTTCATATGGGAATCAATATTGATTAATAACCATCGTTATTAAATACTTTCTAATAGAATATGAGAATGTTTTTCATTCCAAATATTGTAGTCCTACATACAGGTCAAGTTGTCGATTAACTAAGAGATTAAGCTTTAAGTAGGTCAACCCACAACTTAACACTATGTCGATTATTATTGAACATGTAGTTTACAGAAGTTACTAACGCTAGCGATCAGAAATACTTTGGTATTTTGGTTATATATTCTTCGATTTTGACAAATGCACCGATTAATGGGATTAAGTGGGTCAAACCTGTAGATTGATTACGAATATGGCGGGTTATAATTGAAGTCTTAGTGGGCGTCGTCTGCTAATAACCGATTAACAGGATTAACTGTATATATCATAGCGATTTCATAATAAAATTTATAGAATTACGTTCTTCACATGGAAATCAATATTCATTAACAATTGTTTATTAAATACTGTATGTTAATTGCATACTCGTGAAATGAAATATTTCAACAGAAATAAACATTTAATTTTAACATAGTTTGTTTCACAAATAAATACGATTGTAACTGCGTATATTTGTCAACTTTCAGATTTTTCCTATGGGAAATACACATGAAGAAATATATGTTCTAGACATATTGTCGCCCTTCTACGAAAGCCTTAACGGATTAACTGTAGGGATGGCTTCCTCTTTTGAAATTCAATAAACATATTTGGTGTGAATGCAGAAAAATAAATTTTATCTGATACCTGTAATTGATTTGCGACAGCATGACGCCATCTTTGCTGGTGTGAAGTTGGCTTAGGCGTTAGATTAATCTTGTAATATTAGTTGGCATTATACAAACCGTTCCATTCCTGTAGGTATATAAGGTAAGCAGGAATCGGGGTTTGTCATTCGCGATAAACTTGTGTTGAATATAGGTTAAGGTTGAGAGTCGGCTAAGTTCAGATTTTTCTATTACATTTTCTTATTATATTATTATTATATTTTATGTACTTGTATGTTATTTCAAAGTAGATGTGAAATTTTATTATAATCCGATTACATTAAATATACACTGCTTATCTTAAAGTATTCATTTGGTAATAAGTGTGATTTAATATAGTCAGATTACATTAAATATTCACATTTGAATAGGTTATATATCCAACATGTCTGGTAGACACGCTAAGCAATGCCCTGTTTGTTTCAAGCCCTTTGTGTATATTGTTAGGCATTTGACAAGTGTTCATGATAAGAGTAAGGAAGAGGCGTTAGGTATATCCCGCGACATTGCCACGCGCCAGTACTCAATTAATCCCAGGATTCGTCTGACGGATATTTTGCAACTGGTGCCCGGTGATGATGGCTGGGTAAGTTTCCCCCAAGTGCAGAAAATATTAGAGGCAACAGGTATCGAGGTGATAGTTAACGGTCTTTGGCCCGTTGCAATGGTTAGGCAACAGAACCCTTTTACGCTTGCCCGGTGCGTCTTGAACCCACCGGTGGAAGCAGAGGCCCAGTCAGACGAACTTGCGGTGACTCCGACCGATGTTCCCGAAGCCAACGACAACGACAATGTTGCGGCTACTCCCGATGTGGAGAGTAGTCCAGAGATAGCCCTTCGGCCCCGGCAAGCTCGCCCACTTGTGTCTGATAGCAGCGATAGTGAGACTGAAAGCGAGTCTGAAGACGAGGTCGAAACAAGGTATTTGTTGAGGGGTGATACCTATAGGGAGCAAACTTTGGTTGGTCGTATCCGTGCGATGCGAAAGGATGCTGGATTGGCAGAAAAAATAGCCTGGACCACAGAGGCCGACAAGGGAGATCCCCACTTATATTCATTTTTCTCGCATTTAATGCTATGTAAAGCCGGAAAGAAAGAAAGAAGTGTAACAAATAAGGTAAACCAGATTTCAAAATTACTCCATTTCATCCAAAAGACCCATGAAATGGGCACGAGTAGCGCAGACCCGAAGTGTCTGTATCAACAGGATACATTCAATAATTATTACGATAGGCTTGCGCACGATCTCGATGGCACGGGAAATGGATACGGCCTGCAGCCGACAGCCATGAAAAATGAGCTGCAATCGGTTAAACTTTATTTGACATATTTATTAACTAGCTGCAATTACCATGTTTCCGACCCGGGTTTTAAGGAACACGCCAAGATAATGCTGGAAGGCATGGCGGTGATGGTTAAGAACAACTATAGTAGGATAGCCGTCGCAAACACGCAGCGGCAAATCCAATTACAGACCGAAGTGGTCAAATATGATATTAATCAGATGAGGGAAGAGCTGGCGCGAAACGTTGAAATCAACGATCGATTGAAAACGATTCGTGACAAACTGGCTCGCAGCGGTGTTAGAAATGACAATATGAGTGATTATATTTTTATAACGAGATACTTGTTTGTCAAACTTCAGCTGCATGGTATTCAAAGGGTGGGGGTGACCGAGGGTCTAACCCTACAAGAATTTTATAACGCAAAGGCACGCGTGAATTCGCACGGAGAAGACGTGTTTCTTCTGTTGATAAACCCTCACTCCGCAGGCACGATTGTGATCCCGGCTGATTTGTACTCCTTGATGGACTTCTATTTGAAGAGGTTCCGACAGAAGGACGACCCCAAGACGAAATGTTCTAACAAGTTCTTCCGTCAATGGGGCTCCCAAACGGAATACGTGAGTGTGGCCAATAACATAACACAGTTCAGACTAAGATACGGCTTAACCGATATTAATACCACTACTTGCCGCCACGTCGCCCAGTTAAAGAGCAAAGCGGATGGGATTAACCATGAGCACGTTCAATCGTGCACGGCAATGGGACCCAATGAGGCCGCATTCGCCGCATTGGGAAACATTATTGAGGGCAAGGACAGTAAAAAGCAGCCGGCTACTTCCTCTGGGGTCATGACTGGCGGCGACCCCCGTGTTGTGAATTCGGGGGCTAGTACTTCTGGTGCTAGCCCACCCGAGTTAGAACGACGCGCGCCCCCTCCGCCGGAGGCTGGTTATTGTGATGGTAGCTCGTCGGGTACTGCTACTCCCCCTCCCCCCGAGTTAGAACGATGCCCGTCCCTATTGCCGGTCTGTTCCTTCCCTTCCGCATCTTCCGTTGGGTCGGATATGTTGTCATTTGATCAGATTATCAAGTTGTTGCAGGGGGCCCTATTTGAGGCATATCCTGTTGGTCCCTACGGGTCCGTGCCTACCAGGGCCATGGCCGAGGCCGTGTTCAAGGTTAAGGATTATTACAGTCAAGTTCCCGTAGCGAAAAAGTCGAAAACGCTGAAAAATCTGACGTCAAAATGGCGCGAGGCACAGCACAAAGCCCGCGGTAGGCATTTTGTGGACACTTTTCCACGTATTAAATTGGCGGATGCCAAGAGTGCCAACCCATTAATCCAGGAGAAGTTCGCTGGCTGGAGTCAATATGGGAAGATAGCTGGTTACGCGTTTCAGTACGTCACTAACCAAACCAAGGCCAAACGCTGACAAGAAACGCGTCCATTGCAATTAACTGATCTTAAGTAGTTGATGGACATGCATTCCGCGCAGTCGTGGGATCAGGTGCGCCTGGAGTACCTACAGAACGCGACCAATTGGGATCGGTCGGACCAAGAAATCGACGCTTTCCAGGAACCATAACGTGGTTAATTGGGATCAGACCTTGTGTGCCCCGGGAACCTTGATTTATAAATTACGCATGCTAATAATTTTCTTCGGTTTTTTTTTTCAGGTTCGCCTGGAGTACCGACAGAACGCAACCGGACCAAATAATCGACGCTTCGATCAGACCTTGAGTGCCACGGGAATCTTGATATATATAAATT